TATTGCCTATGTTCGCTTCGATTCCTCTTCCCGCCAAAAAATGTAAAAGTTTCCCATACACAATTACAATGAATTATACACTACAGAACATTATTAATAATAATAATATAAAACTTTAATAGATAAGCTACCATCAGTCTCCTGCGTTCGTTGATGTTCACACAATACACGTCTACTACCCATCGTGTCGGGAGATAGAGTACAACGCCAAGCTATAACACAAAAGGGAACGGGCCTTACTCCACCATGCCTTTTCTATCATCTGTGACTCGGAGATATTTTGCGTTCAATTTACACCCAAATTATCTATGGTTGAACCTATTTCAAACAGTATTGTGTTTACACGGAAACCTGTTGAAAGAAAGTGGTTTGGGAATCAACTGGCCAAACATAATGATTGCTTCACATTAAAATCAAATGTAATTTAAGTATAGTACGAAACACGATTCAAAAAATATTCAATGACACATAAAAGGCTCATTCGACATAAGGAATTTTGACAGCAAGCATAATCGAAATTAAACTGATAGAAAACTTATTCACTGAGATGATCCATTTAAATAAAGTACCAGTAGCGGAGCATGACTTTTTCAAAACTATAGAAAAATTTAAACCGCGAAAAATTTGGCATCTGAGAACACAAGACAGCAAAGTAAATTTGGGCCAAGAATTAATAATTCTGAGAAAAAAGAAAGGAAATGTAAACTGACAAAAAAAGTTTCGTGACTACTTAAATCCACTCATTACATATTATACACAAATTTATAGTTCATAAAAGACAATAAAACATTTATGAACGAACTCACCTTTCTTTATCGTTATCCTTTACCTTCAGGTCCATGTGAGGACTTTCTCAGTGGAAATATCTGTCACGGAGTCACAGAAGATCGGACAGTTTTCCAAATTAAAAGTTCGGTTTTGTACCAAGAATCAGACAAATGGCGTTACTTATTCCTAGATTGTTGTAAACTAAACTCACGCCAGAGACAAATCCATTTCGTGTCCAGCATGCAAGATATTGTACCTGGTACTTGTTGGTCTCTTCTAGGTTAGTGCCACAATTGAACATTTTGGATACACTTCCACTTGCCTACATCCAAGTTTAATCTAGGAGCAACACCTTTGAATTGACGTATTTAAAATAGCTCGTTAAGAACTGATATGACTAGCAGCAATGTGGGGCTGATCAAAAAAGTAAGTTGGGGCATTACTATTGCACATCTCATAGGGATGGGACATGAGAGCAGCTTCGTCCGTTTTCTCATAATCCTTCTAAAGTTGTGCTACTTGTCTCTGCAGTACTCCTTTGTAAGGGTGGTAACATTGTTATTGAACTAAGCGAATTTAGAAAGCATAAAACCTACAGACAGAAAAATCTTAATTCACAAAATAGGAACAAATTCTTGTATTATCCCGTGCAATCAGTTGTTTACACCAGTGTTTCTCAACCTTTCTGGTACCGCGGACCCTCCTCAAAATCATCTCATATATATTTTGGTTAACATACTGATTAAAAGGACAAGTATTTTTGGTCACGTGTTTTTACTCCAAAGTGGAAGGTATGACACGTACAGCAATACACCTCGCGGACCCCCAGTTGAAAAACAATGGGTTACACGCTGCCAATTGCTCCATGAAACAAGGTCAGTTCGTCTGCCAGGAAGCTCTTTCCTATGCTGTCATGTACACAGCATCTTTCTTTTGCGCTTCCCAACAGCCCACTGTGCTTGTGCAACTCAGCTGATAGAATGGGTAGATTCCCTGGCATCTTTGATAACCCGCGTGAAATTGTGTCACTCCCGCTGTGCTTGTGCAGCTCAGCTGATAGAAACGGGTAGATTCCCTGGCAACTTTGATAACCTGCCTGATACTGTGTCACTTCCATTTTTGTGATATTGGGACTGATGCAATTTTTGTGTTTCAGGTTCGCCAATATGACTGTTGTATAACGTTGGAAGTCGTTTTTATTTATTGAATACAAACTAAGGTTTAAATACATACATTAGCATTTATAACAACGATTCATTTAAACACCATTTTTGTCAACTTTCTATGCTTACAAAAATGCTAATTTGTATGTAAGTGATTTGTTGTTCATGTTAACAACATTGACTGGATTGGTCTTGCGTGCAATCAAGGCCATGTGGCGTGTGTTCGTAGGAGGAAGTTTGTAGAAGTGTATTGATTGTTGCTATTATTTATTGTATTGAGTGTATCTAACTGCTAACTGTATTTAAAAATGAAACTGTATACAAACGAAAATAATCCATTATCACTGAAAGTGTTAATTTCGGCTAATTTTGCTCAGAAAGATCTGAGGCCCGAAATCACTAACGTGGACGGTAAGTTTAGGTTAAGCCATCCATACGGTAGTTTCTACCTTGAATGAAACTAGTATTCGGTAATCTAAACGGTGGACGAAATTGATATTGTTAAGAGAAGGCAATTTGTAATAGGCGATTCTGTTACCAGTGGCCATTTCCATATATTTACTTTTATTTCAATTTAGCGGCCCAAGAATTTAAATAGGATATGATTGTAGAAAAATTGTTGCAAATTTGCCTCAAAATGTTTTGGAAATGAAGCTGTTGTCTCTTAAATTTCAGAATATAACATAAACAAAAAGGTGACTTCTGGACAATTTTAGAAATGTCTTAATACCAAGTTGTAATTCTTGATATACTTGATTATGACCAAATATATATCTGTACAATACAGCACAATTTTGAAGTTTGTAATGAACGAACGTTTTATGTGGAAGTGTTACCAGTCTCCAATCTGGAGTACTAGGAGCTTTGCAATATTTTGGTGAGCTTTTTCTCTTCAGATGCTGCTTTTGCTGTGGCCTCCTTCAGTCATTGTTATTAAAAGGCAGAAAACATGTCAGGACTTTCCATTTTTACCGTATTTACCCTTTAAAGCCAAGTGGTAACATGCACCACCAGCGTTAATGATGGGTAACTCTGCACATGTTCACAAAGTTTATTTATGGGTTTCGTATGGTTCTCAATGCAAGCAGCAATTATTTTTTTGAACCACCTGATCTTACTAATGAAGAAGTATTGTATTTCCTTTGTATTGTATTATTATTATGACTTTTTCCACATTCTATTGTCATCTGACTATCTTATGGATCCATGGAATGTAATAAAATATGTTTGTATGTACAGACTGAATTTTTAAATAATATTTATACAAGTTCGGCTTCAAAGGGTTCATCTCATCTTTTCATGCTTTGTACTGATGTAATTTATGTAGTGAGATTACTTATGACCTCTGAAACGTTGGTAAACATCTACCATACTACACAGCGCAACAACCCAGAAGACAGAAATCTTCATACTCACTGCTGTGAAAACCTCAAATCTTACTTAATCTAAGGAAGTAAAGGAAATGTCCTTGCAGGTATTTTCCTTCAGTTTTTCAATTTGATGAGAGTTTGATCTTTAAATTTTGTACTTAATGGTTTCCCATAAATAAAATTCACATGAGTTGAGGTCATGGGAACATGCTACTAATAATTCTGTTCCCAAGGATTTATCTTAGAGCTTCCATGGATGCTGTTGCTGTATGAACAGTGGCATCTTCTTGTTGAAAGAATTCATATCAACATCCTTTTTTTGGTTGCCACTCAGAAGATAGTCACAGCATCTGGTCCATACACCAGTAAGAATTTGTTGTGTCCTTGAAGGAAATTATTCTGATTACTGTACTCTGTGTGCACACCAACTACTGCAATGACAGTTGTAAAATCATCTAGTGCGGGGGTTCTCAACCTTTTTCGCTGACGTATCACTGATTATAATTTAATACATTAAATGTACCACTAACCAAATGTGTTCAGGGAGAACTGATTTATGTTAATATTATCTTTTGATTTTCTTACTTAATTCGCGTACCACTCAACTTTGGCTCGCGTACCATAGGTTGAGAAATGCTGCTTTAGTGGAATATTGTGTACTAGTCTTGGGAATCAAAGTAAATGGGGCTTGGCATCTAGGATTTGGATGGTCAGTAATATATAAGCTTGTTCCATGGTTGCTGTTCCATAAAAAAATACCTCATTGTGTGTTACTGGTAATTTTATAGACCCACGTTTCCAGTCTCCACGTCGTCTTCCTGTTCTTGAATTGGATACTGGTGAATTTCTCTTCTCCACAAATTCAGCCAGTCGGCTGTTGTTTCCACCTCTGCAAAGTTCCGCTGTAGCAGTAGATCAGTGGCTAGAATGGGAATCTTCACAGTTACAGGTAATTCAAAGAAGGAAAACACATCTCAATTAAATATTTTACATGTACATAAACAAATTATCTTTTTTGCATAAATTTTGCCCGATTTGGTTATATAGCTTCCACATTGGCCATTTTTGTCTTTTGTCCCTTGGTTTATAAAGAAAGTTGGGCTCATGGTATCATCATGTGAGTTCATGTGTGTAGCTTTCAAAGTAAGTGATGGATATTTTTAAAAGTGGGTAAGAACATCATGATATATATTAAGCTGAGGAATTCAGGTCCAGATTTCAAGTGTGACTTTTACTAGACATAAAGTTAAATATTTTGTTGAGTTTTAAATTGTTGCAGTTACAGTTAATTCCAGTAAGTGTTGAACCACCTGTGACAAGTGCTTCATCATTTTTCATAAACATTCATTGTGGTCTTGCATAACTTATTCGTTTATTGCAGATACACGTACAATGTGCTGTCATAAATTGTATTTATTGAGTGTAATATAATGAATGTTTCAAATAAGAGCTGTAGATCTTGTTGAGACTTGCTGTTTATCTTTTTGCTAAGAATTTGTATGATAAGCTGCTCTTGAGAAAAACAAATAAGTTTGGAGTTCTGTTCGACTAATTGGTACTAAATTAAATTTGCTCGATAACTTGTAGATTAATCCCTTCCCCTCATATATCAAGTTTAATTGAGATCCATTGGGTGGTTTCAGAGATTATAAGTACAGAATAACATGTTTATTTCCCCATTGTTCAAAGAGCACGTGCCAGTTATTGAATGGATTATCACGAGTCTAGTAGTAAATTCTTCTGTTTCTGGTTTTATTAAAGATTTTTGTTGGCTTAGAATGACTTGAGTTGTTTGTGAGAGTTGAAGCACATGGACACTTTTTTGTTAATAGCCTGTGCTTGCGTTTTACCTGAGTGCTACGTCCAAACCAGACACAGGAGTCATCAGCCACCTGAAGGAGCTTTTAACTACCTTGAACTTGGCTCTCTCTGGAAAGGAGTTCCTTACTGGGGTAGGTTGTATGCATTCTTTCTCTGGCGATTTTACTTTGTGCCGAGGAATGCCTACTTTCTAAGTCAACAAACTTTTGCTGTTCCCTCTTTCTTTGATTTCAGTATCTTGATTTCTGTCTTGTAACATTTCTACACATTTCTTCCAGTAATCTGCATTCCTCTTCTAAGTTGATATTTAAAGTTACTTTTACATCATGCATTACTTTCTATAGCAGTTTTGAAATCCATAATTTATCTCAACATTTGTAGTATTTTGTGGCTCCTCCTCGTCTTGAGACCACAGTAATTGCTGTTCTAGTCTCATCTATTTTCTTGTAGCTCAGTGAAAGAAGTTTTTAAGTGTTCGTACATTTTACAGACTCTTCTTACCTCTTTAACATTTGGTAATTGTTCTGTTTTTAAGAAAAATGTGGTAGGTAAAAATTGGAACAGAAGGAACACTTCTCATGGACTACAGTGGTGGTTTTTTCTTTGTCATGTTTCTCTTTTTGTTGTTTTCCACCTCTAAAGCTTTAGTGTTAAGATCTTTAAGTGTTTTTATAGGTCCTCACTGTGGTAAACTTGTTAAACCTTTTTATATAATAACTCGTGGAACACATTTTTCTGACTTTGTAGTATGAGAGATTGTAGTGAAGATGCCAGTGTTGTTTCTAGGTTGTGACACCATGTTGGCTTACAGGTGTAGGTCATGCGAGAAAGGACCGCAAAGGACTGAATTTGGTCATGTGAGATGGACCCATCTGGAGCAGAGGGGTGTCAGTTTCAATTGGTTTGTAGCTCTAGCTGTGTTTAGATCAGTGCGTCACCACAGCTGAGGCTGGGCGACCCCCACTACTACTGAACTCCCCTCTTTCAGCTTACACATCGCACATTTAGGTGCCACCACTACTCGAGACACCAGCGTTTCACAGAAATATATTGTCTCCATCTTTAGGGCTGAAACCTGGCAGTTTATGTGGATGCATTAGAACCTGGGATTTTCTGTATTGAAAACAGATCTGCTTCATGTAAATTTTACTGTTTTTATTCCTGTCTCAGTTTTTCTGTTATGTACATATGGTAACTTTTTCTTTTCTTTTTCTTTTTGCTTCTGAAGCAAGGAGTAACTGCAGCAGATGTAGCTGTTTGGAGTATTCTGTTACCATTGGCAACAGGAACCAAACAACAGAAGGAACTATTGTCAGAACATTCACAAGTACAGCATTGGTTTTCACGTCTCGGTGCGCATCCTGAAGTGAAGGTATGGTAACGGAACTTGAACTTTCATGTCTAAACATCAAAAACATGCACATAAAAGTTATGGGTTCACAGAAAATTAAAATGTGGTAGATATGTTATTGGTTTGAATTCCTGAGCAGTTTCTTTGTACGGTTCTGCTTTGTCATCTTCTGAATGGTGTGTCAGAACAATATTGAAAGACTAAAAGTGGTTTTTTATCAGGGCCTTGGACCATTTTAAATAAAGGTTTAGTTTGGTGTGTAATCTCATATTCAAGTTTAGTGGAGTTTTGGGCTGTGAGATTGATAATTACTTTGAAATGGTTCACAAAATATGGTATATGATACAGACTAATCTTAAATATCTTGATATAAATTTAATAGGGAAATAATTAGAATACAAATTCACAGGTTATTATTGGACATCTACAGCATGAAATAAATTTACTGCACAGGTACTTCCAACCTGTGACTTGTAAATTTGTAAATTGGTTTTGTATTAGCACTTCTGTTTTCCCCTTAAGGAGTAATTTGGGTTTGAGAATTTTAAATGTTGACAATTGAAATTTGTGTGTTACATTTTTATAAAAACCTACTGTTGGAAATTGATAGGTTACATAATATATTTTGAGAGAGGGGCTTATATTTCACAACGTCTCACAATTAGATTGTCTCTTTCAAAATAAATCTCAGTGGGGCAGAATGAATCCTGTATGTGAGAACTATCTCTTCACTGTCTTATGTAGCAGGTGCTGGAAGAGCAAGTGTTTATGGAAAATATATACGCTTCAGGGAAAGTCTCCTTTTTGGTCCCCCAGTATTTCCAAAATGTTGTTTCTGTTAACACAGAATGAGTATTACTGCCACCAAAATTTTCTGGGTTGTGTGTTAAATTTGAGGGACATTATCTTTGGTATTAGTAATTTATAAAAATTATCATTTTTCTCATTCATCCTTAAGATGCTCGCTCTGTCTCCCAGTGTTACACCTTCCTTTTTTGGTAATATCAGTTGGCTCTTTTATTGGCAAAAGCTTTTTTAATATCATCATGGAGCTTATTGTTCTTTAGATCAGAGTATGTAGCTGATATAAAGAATGAATTTCTAAAACCATTTTTCCTCTTCCTGTCATGTTGAGACGTAGAGTTTCAGCAAAGAATGTCATGACTTTTTTGATGTAGTGCTGCATTTAATCCATATTCCAAATAGGTCACAGAAGTTAATTAATTTCTGTTATTGCAAACATTTGTTAGCAATTGTGATATGACTCTGAGCATTTTAACTTTCTGAAATTTTTTGACGTAAATACATCTATACGGAAGGGTCATTCGGAAAAAACAGCTTCAGGAAAATGTGTAAGATCCATACCAACAATGTGTAAATATGGACCGACAATAGTCAGCTTTTATATGAACTCCTGCTTGCATAACAATGCGCTACTCCATTACCTAAGAAACTAATTGTTACGTCATGTGATTACTCGGCATTGTTGTGTTACATTACTGCCGTCAACAATCCGCTTTCATTATTGCGGAAAGAGCTGAGCTGTGAATCGCTTGTAGAAGAAGTGCGTCGTAGAGTAGACAATTTTCTGCTGTTAAAAACGTTTCAGATTATCAAAATTACTTATCTTATATAAGAATTATTAAGAAATCTGTGATACTGCCCTCCACTCTCTCCATTTTAGTTTTGATTAAATTGGTCATTGCGAGTGGACATCGTGGTCTCTTACAATTGAACAAAGTTTGAGGTAAGGGATTCCTGTTTATTATTATTATTGTTCATCATGTTAAGCGGCCGCCTCTCGAAAACCGTAAGAGATGGATCTGGAAATATTGCGTATGAAATATGTATTACCTCTTGAGCTTTCCATGTCTGTTTTCAGATTTTACATATCACAAATGGTTTAGGTTCTACAAACATTTATTTATACAAATAAAGGTGCATCACACTTCACGCTGTGCGTTTACGTATTTACGTCAGATTCCCTGGAACCGTGGTTCCACTGTCAATTTTTTTCCATTCATTTGATGGGATATGCACTTGTGGATTAAATAATAATTGGTACAGATTCTCTAAGTTTCAGGATGTTGTACTTGGAATGCCACCTTGTTATAATACCTTTTGTGAGTTTCTGTTACTTCAGTTTTTTTAGTATTGCCATAATAGAAGAGGTTCTCACTTTTTAATTGCCTTACAAATGTTGATATATCATTAAATGAATTGTGATTCACCAGTTATGTGTGATGGATTTGACTCCCATTTGTAGATATTTCTTGGTAATTATTTTCTGCATATATTTCTTCTACTTCCACGTTGGTAGTTTCACAAATATCTTCTTCATCAAGATTGTACTGCTCTAGCTTGTGCCACAAAGATTTCTGAAACCTTGACAGTGTTACCTCTGTTATAATGTGTTGATACCCAAGAAGGGCATTCATGTCTAGTTTGTAATGTCGTTTTTGATACACACTGTGTCTGCAAATCCTGAGGTATTTTCTTGAAGTAGTGATTGCTTTCGCACTTGCGTGAATTTGTGATGCACTGAAAATTTGGCCATCTTTTCTTGAATAATGATGAGGTACAAAAGTTTCCTAAGCACTGTCTTTTGTGAAAGGTCTGCCATTTACTGTTACAATTTCTGCATAAGCAGCAGCAACACGCACCCATCATTATGTTAATGGAACCTTGCTTGCTCATTTCAGTTAGGGTGCATTTATTGCTTGTTGGTACCTTTAGCGGCCCATCCACGTATGAGTCTGGCTCGGCTCGGCTCGGGTTCCTTTGGGCCAAACTCGTTTGTGGGTGGGGTGTCACGAGCCGAGTCTGCTACGCATGTGTGGTGAAATATATCGGAACCCGGCTCACGAGTAAAGCTCGCCAAGCCAGACTCGCACGTGGATGGGCCGCTTCAGTGTCCTGTATTGATCTGTTTGGAGTAGGATTTGGAGCGTAATGAAAATGAAGGTACAGACTTTGAGGTTGTAATTAACAAATTTAATATAATTGGAATTTGCAGTAGCAAAACTTTAATGATGTAATTACTATTTTGTAGTTCTTGCTAGCTTCACTGTGAACAATGCAATGCATGGAGGAATGTAATAAGTACCATGCATTCTTCCAGAACTTCTTTTTTGAGCTTTTATATGATTCCATGACAGTGGAGTTTTGTTATATTCACTTTCAGAGGCAAACTGTAGTCCATTGCAGATAATATTAAATTGACACTTGAAATGTTATAATAAAGATCAACACTTAAGTTGTGTTTGCTCACCGTAAGTTATATTATTGTCTGTGTTTTAATTAGGCTGCAGTAGACCTGTTATCTCCTAAAGCTGGAATGGATGCTTACCACAGCTTGGCGACTGCAACTTGGTATCCAGTTAACGCAGTCGTTTCTCAAACAGAAAAAGTCTCACACGTTCGAATTCCATCTGTAAACAGTCTTGATGTGAGTTTGCATAAATCGTATCAAATATTATTTTTGAATGTTCTGATAACATGAACTGGGCAATACTAACAACTATTTCTCAGTAACTTTGTTAAGAGAAAAATGAATATTTGTGATAAAAGCATGTTTTACATGTTGTTAAGGAAATTCTGTAAATAATTCTGTGCTGCTGAGAATAGTGAAGAAGAACTGAATGTGAAGATACAACAATTTGCTGAACCACAAATCTCTTTAGCCTAGAATTAAATTCTACAGATTAAAATTGTTGTTCTTTGATTCTGATGCTTCTTATTCCTTTAACCAAATTTTGAAGTGAAGACAAATTCTAAATGTTAAAAGAAATAAAAGAAGCCATGTTGTTTCAAAGCATGTAAACATGTTTGATGTTTGTTTTTCTCTATACATTGTGTTTACTCTGAAAGTAGCCTGGCATATTCTTGAGGTATATTGTGATTATATTACATTTTCAGTACTTAGCACGTGGCACCATATTGATATAGGTAGTTTCTTAGTTTTGTTCCTTTCTTTTTAGTCTAAATGTGTGTTTTTCATGACATGCAAATTTCAGAATTGTTTTGAATTTGTCATAATTTGGGGTATTAAGTCTCTTTTAGTGCAGGTAGTTGCATATCTGGTAGATGGCAGCTTCACAGAAATGCTGTGATTTTAAGGTTGGGCTTTTACTTAATTCGAATACAAGGTCAAGGTTACTACATAGTGAAACATTCTGAACAGTTGTAAGAACATTTCTGAGAGAGAGGAAGGGACAGGAAACTACAAAAAATTGCGTAATGAACAGCTTCATAATTTGCACTCTTTGCAGGATATCAGGTCAGAAAAGCTAAGGAGGATAGATGAGTGGGGCATGTAACATGTGTAAGAGATATGATAATTGCATACAAAATTTTAGTCTGGAAATCTGAAGGGATGGGAGCACTTCGTAAATTGGAGGATAGTATTAAGTTGTTTCTTGAGGAGATTGGGTTTGAGAATGTAGACTATGTGGCTGACGATAGATTCTAGTAGTGGGCTCTTGTGAAGATGACTCTTGTTCCATAAGAGATGGCAGATTTCTTGACTAGCTGGATAAATATTGGCTTCTCAAGAAGAACTCTGCTTCTTGAAGTTACAGAAAATTTCTATATAAAATTTATTTATGTTGCATGTTTGTTATCTTACAAATTATTTTGTTTCACATTTCACATGTTTTTCAATTAGCATAGTTCATGTGCTTATGATGCTCTTTATGTTTTGAAATAAACTTTTTTTTTGCTTTTCATGAAACCTCATATTTATGATCAGAGGTATTGCAGGGAAAATGTGTGTGGTCGGTATTAAATGTGGTTAAAAGAGCAGTGGTAAACCAGTTCATAGCAGTTGAAAGGAAATTTGTTGCCAGTGAACATTTTGCTGGATGTTAGAGGTTTTGTAAGCCTCATTCATTGCGTACATCTGATCATTTCATGGCCTGAAATTTGAAAATTTTTCATAAGTCAAAAGAGTTTGTTGACCATGTACATGAACTGCAACAGAGGAGGTATAATCTACACCAAAGACAACAGTTTAAAGCTGATAAAATCATTAACGATGCTGAAATCTTGAGACAGTTCAGAGTAAATTGCTAAGGTGTAAATCACATCATATTCATAGTTTTATTCATAATGTTTTTTGTATAACATGCTAGTTGGATTAATATAATGTTGTGTTACAAGTTTCTGTTGAATCTCTTGTTAAGATGACATACATAATATCGGTGTTGTTAATAGACTAAGCATATTCGTAATTAGGTTTGTTTATCAGCAAGGCAGTAATTTACTCCAAATATAAGACATTCACTGTTATGCTGCATTTTTGTCTTTGGATTAAAGTAATTTTATTACAGCATATAACTATGCATATGCCAGGCAGTACCTGAGTAAATACTTTGGTGATGTTATTGCTTTATAACAAACAGAAAATTAAGCTTCCTTATTGCTGAATTTAGATTTGTAAAGGGATGTTTTAATCTTTGTTTATGCTTATTAATTGCATGATATGACTATATGCAGACAGTTCTTTTTCTGAGACATACACCTGTATCTTTAACGCAATAATGTGATGTTACATTATGGATTCTGCCTCCAGGGTATGTCCAAAGAATCACCACTTTCAGAAGCGGAAATTAATGCGGCAGCTGAAGCATGGCAAAATGGTGCTGCCAGGAGACCAAAACCCAAGCCCCAAGTTTGTCCTGTGTGAGTGGTCCATTTTCATTTTCCTTTTTTTATTATTTCTTATTCCCTCAGTATCTTACTAGCAAGCATTAGCACTTAATATTTGTTACGCTTTTGTGTGAATTAGTAAAACGTAATATTTTTTTATTTAGTGGATGTATTTGATCTGTGTTTGTTGAAAAGCAGAATTCTAGTGCTTAATTTTCATTAATGCATATTATATTTTTGGCAGAATAGAAGTGTTGGCACTATCTGTAGCAAGTATCAGAAGACATATATTGTAAATTACATTTATTTCCCTGTCCTAATTTATTTATTGTCCCGCGCCGTAGCTGCGCCGTCTGAGGCATCATGCTTTGGACCGGTGATATGGAATGCGCGCTGGTTCGAATCTCAGGGAAAGAAATTTCTCATGAGATTTTCGACCGGTGCCAACCCAGAATCGTGAGGAAATTGGGGAGCTACAATGGGTAACATAATCTGGTCATGAACTAGCGATGGCTGGGGGTTTGTTGTGCTGACCACACGTCACTCTATATCTGGTTGGATGATCGTTCACCTCTGCTTAGGCATGTGAATGTGAGGCCAGCAGCCAGCTAGTCGGCTTTGGCTCTCAGAGGGTTGTTATGCCACGGATTATTATTTATTATTTTACTTTATTTATCTGTATATGTGCACACGTGTGTTTACGTTTATGCTTACAAGCACAGATTCATCTGTCTAGGATAGGGACCATAGGCAGACTTGTGAATACTGTAATTAACCTTTGAGTTCCATAAGAGGCAGGGGATTTCTTGACTAGCTTCCCAAGGAGGACTCAAATCTATCTACTTGTGACTTTTTTTTAAAGCATGCGTTTAATTGGCATAATCTGAAGGCTGCATGTTTGGATGAATACTTGTGTTGTTTTCTTCAGATGAATAATCTTAATAAATTTAATTTGATAAGATATCATGATACTATTCTTGAGAAAACTTGACATTAGATTTCAGTGAATACTTAAGTCAGTGGTCCCCAACCTTTTTGTGCCTACGGGCACATTTGAGAGTTATGAGATCTTGACGGGCACCAACCAATTAACAAAGCCAGATTTTCTTTTCTCTGGACAAATAAGATATGGACACCAAATAATACACAAAACATCACGACGTTTAATGATACTAGAAACCATGCAATCAAAAATACATACTTTTATAAGTACAATTATTATTACTCAAGTGGGAAGTTAGTGTGATGTTTGGCACTGCATTTCATCAGCCAGTTTTTCAAATTTGAGAGTGTAGGATGATGTTGCTGCTCGCAAACGATCGTCGAGATGGGCGTCAGTAAGTCGAGATCTGTGCTTTGATTTTATAATGTTCATGGTTGAACTGCCTTCTTTATTCAGTATAACCTCTTTCCGTAAGAACGCGGGCACCCACGGGCACCGCGTTGGGGACCACTGACTTAGGTAATGGAAGTATAAGGATTGTTCATACTGTCACATACATTTGAACCTGAAGAGCCTTGGTTGTTTTAGTTGTGGTGCAGGATTTTTTTTTTGGTGTGTGTGACCAGATCTGAGTTAACATTTCATCACATCATTGGAAGTAGCTGAATATTCCTGATGGGTTCTGTAATCTTAGAAATGGCTTTATACAACTTAATTGCATTTAGGATGCTGCTGAGATGGTTCCTTAAAGTATTGATTGCCGTCTTCTGAATTGTGATGTCCTAGGAGACTGCATGATGTCACAGCCTAGAAGAACACAACTGTTTAAAAAATCAGTATGAGATAGTGGTAAAGGTGATTGTTATTCTTCCTTTATACAGGTTGCCTGTGCCTGGAGAGCACAATGTGTTAATTTCATCAGCACTACCATATGTAAACAATATACCACATCTGGGTACTATTATTGGCTGTGTCCTGTCGGGTGATGTTTTTGCACGGTATGACAATTTTGATATTAAAACCATTGTACTAGTCAGAAGGCTGTTGTGAAATCATGGATAGTCATTAGGTACATGCAGATATTCATATAATCATCATAATACATCTCCTTTTCTCTTTGTTACTTCCCTGTGGTGTTAAAATAGGAGGTGCCAACATCCATGTTTTGAAACTAAATATTTACCATGAATGTACCTTTAACTTATAAATCTGACACATACTTTCATCTCTCTGCAACTGGCGTAGTAATGAATTTTATTACTGGCCTGGTCTTGTGGCACAAGCACTTTTTTGTATTAGGCCTCAGAGCGTATTTCTCTGGTTTTCACAGTTCGTTTGAATTTACTACTGGCATTTATGGCGATGGGATGACACAAATGTTTCTTGTAAATATACAATTTTATTTTGAATCTTCCTTATTTCATAATTATGGTACAGAATTTCTGGTGAATTCTTTTGTACATCAGGGTGTTCCAGTCTCTTTAGGCAAAATTGACAATATTTTTTTGATTAATTTCTGGGTAAATTCTTCCTAGTATTCACACATATAAAATGAATTTCCCTTGATCAACAGATTATGTTTTATTCATTAGGTTTTCCCGGTTGTGCAATAACAACACATTATATATCTGTGGTACGGATGAATATGGAACTGCTACAGAAACAAAGGCCTTGGAGGAGGACCTGACACCACAACAAATCTGTGATAAGTATTACAAGATCCATGATGCTGTCTATAAGTGGTTTAATATCAGCTTTGACCATTTTGGGCGTACAACTACTCCAGAGCAAACAGAGTGAGTGGAATTGGTATATTGTTATTCGCCAGCTGCGGTATTAATTGGTGCATATAATATATACTAAGTGCCACGGTGGTCTAGTGGTTAGAACGCTGGCCTTGTAATCCTGGGGTCCCGGATTCGATTCCCGGCGGTGCCCGAATTTATAACTTGTATTGAGCAAGGCCATGGTCTAGGCAACTTGGTGTTTTTCTCTGGGGCTTTCCCGGTTTCTCCGTGGCATCCCAGCAATTACTCCACACTCCATACACACAGAAGAAGGCAATGGCAAACCACTTCTGTATCACCTGTCCGAGAAAAGGATGGAAGGATCCTGTTCATAATATGTCGCCAACCTCCTGTAAAGGAGACAGCGCAATAAAGAAGAAGAATAATATATACTGTATTCATGCAAATATAAGCCATTCATTTTATCCAAATTCACATACCTTAAAACTAGGGTGCAGCTTATAATTTAAATATTTCTTATTGTTGTCCCTTTGGTTCATAGAAATGTATACATGTAGTGATTTATATTTGTTGTAGAATCAGTCAAGACTTGTTTCTTCAGTTGTATGAGAATGGCTTCTTGACAATGGAGTCTGTGGAGCAACTGCTTTGTGAGAACTGTGACAGATATTTAGCAGACAGATTTGTAGAAGGAACGTGTCCTCGTTGTGCCTATTTGGATGCACGAGGTGACCAGTGTGATGGCTGCGGTCATCTCGTTAATGCCACAGAACTCATTTCTCCTCGGTGTAAAATCTGCCAGAAAAAACCAGTCGTAGCGAAATCAGATCAATTTTTTCTCGAACTTCCGAAGGTAAGCAGTTCATTGCTTGAGGTAACAGTACTTTTAATCACTTTGGAGTTGTCATTAACAGCATTCTATAACCTCATCAGTTGATATAGCAATATAAAATATATTTTTACCCAGTACTACAGTGTTTTTCCTTCCACATTCATAAAAGTACCACAGATTTTGTTATTTTGTACTGGAATGTTCTGTACAAAGTATGCATCTCCGATTTAATGTTTCTGTGTCTTGATTCTGACAGACAGAGCCCCTGTTGAGAAAATGGTTGAGTGGAGTTATAGGTGGTTGGTCAAACAATGCACGAGTTATCACCCAGGCATGGTTGAAGGATGGACTTAAACCCCGTTGTGTTACTAGAGATCTTAAATGGGGGGTCCCAGTACCATTGGATGGCTACAGAAACAAGGTATTGTATTTTGTAAAGCTGTCTTGAATTTTGAAGGCACTAAATTCACTTGGTTTTTTTTTAATTTACTGTGATTTCCAGAAAAAGCATGTGTCATTGAGAAATGTACTTTAAGAACCCCAGGTTCTTGAGTGATCAACTGGGCATCTGTCAGCTTCTCAAGAAGGACCCTCCTGTATGATGTCTAGTTAGTGATTCATATTTTCTTAGCATGTAATGTGTCAGTCTAATTGTAGCTTTTGGTTGGTTATGTAATCTCTTCTTAGATCAAATATAGCGATTTGGTAGTAATATACCTTTTGAAGATTTATGTTTTCTGGGTTGCTGTGCTGTGTAGTCTGGTCGATGTTAGCCAACGTTTCAAAGGTCATACTGCCTCTGTCATCTTCCTGATGACGGAGACAGTATGACCTCTGAAACGTTGATAAACATCTACCAGACTACACAGCGCAACAACCCAGAAGACTGAAATCTTCATACTCACCGCTGTGAAAACCTCAAACCTTACAATATACCTTTTAACTTGTTAACTTACATACAGCTAAACTTCCGTTAACATGAGGGATACTATCCATAAAAGCAAAATATTAGTTCAGAAATTTTTCCCGTAATACTTGATGTGAGGAATGTGATCATATTTAAGTTTTTCTTGCAAATTATAATGTAACTGAGCAAGTGTGTGCATTTCTGTTGCTAAGGAATAAAATTAGGATAGCAATTTTAAAAACATAAGCTTTCCTTATTTTATTGCGTGTTAAAAATACGGATGAAACGTGTGAATCAGATAATTATGTTTTGAGCTGTTAACGTTGGTGAGGAAGAGATTGCGTAACTTACAAGCCAGAAAGACAAAATAAACATAACACCAGGTTTGACAGAGAAGAACGAGAATTTCTAAATATTGTATTCGTTTACAATGTAAATTTAAGATACTGGCATTGTACAAAACATTTTATGTAATCACTTTTAACGGTATAAAAATGAAGCAACGTGCAAAGCAGTATTGTATGGAGTGAACACAAGTGATTTGAGTCGTTTCAGATATTTATTTCATAGAAACTAAGAAACTAAGTGGCATACAGAAACGAGGGGAACTTCTAACATTTTTTAACATGCGTGAGAAGTGATGCATAACTCCAGCTATGGCCACTAGGGAGTGCGACTGTTGATACAACGGAAAGATGATAACTCATCCTTATAATGTGTTTTGTGTGGTTGAGTTTTATTCCACAAAATTTGTGACCACTGTTTAACGGTGTTTTCAGATGCTGTTCCATAAAATTTTCCCATGTGTGAATTTGACTTGCCTTTGTAGGTTGAGTTACCATTTTTCTGTCATGTCAACAGTTGTGCTTCTACTGGCCGTTGTTGGTATCACTTCACTTCCCCTGCTTGCTACAAAACATCTTTGAAGTTCTTCCGTTGGTGCGAGTTTCATTTTCGTATGCTGTTTAGTTTTTTCTAAATGAATGTTTGAAACTTGCATTTACTTTGTGTGTAGAAATAGTATTTAGTATTATCTGAAGAATGAAGCACTTGGTATTTTGTTTCAACAGGTGTTTTATGTCTGGTTTGATGCTCCAATTGGGTACATGAGCATAACAAAAACATATACAGACCAGTGGGAGAAGTGGTGGAGACCAGAGAGCACTACGTCTGTTTCATACTATAACTTTATTGGAAAAGATAATGTTCCTTTCCACTCTGTTATGTTTCCTTCGTGTCTGCTTGGGACTTATAGGAACTACACACTTGTTAGCTATATAATGGCTACAGGTAAGAGTAATGATTTTTTAATACACTGCAGCCCTGTTGTGTTGTTTTTTTATAATGAAGTCCTTTCAGATGTCCTGTACAAGGCTGTGTTATAAAACTGCATTGTTCTTGTTCTTTTTCTTCTTTTATGGCTCTTCCATTCATGGCCTCCTCAATTCTCTTCCATTCGGTCCTCTATTAGGTCCGTCTGTCCGAGGCTTTGATGGAGGTTTCAAAACATCTTCCTTTTTACGGTGCAAGGTTGTTAGCCTTGCGACCAACCTCCAACCTGGAGGACCAGGGTACCTGTCTTAGTCTGACCTCTCCCCCTCAACCAATCTGGCTAGGGAGGCCCTACCAGTAGCTCTTGGGGTCACAGAGGCACTCAAGCCCCACGACCACGACAAGGTGCAGGTACCATTAAGTGGGGCATTGTTCTTGTTAATGTTATTTAAATTTCTTAATTATATGTGCATAGCATGTCAAGTGTTCTTATTTAACATGAAATTTTAATAAATGAATGAGATTGAAGATGTTTGAGAGCAGGGTGCTTTGGAAAATATTTGGACCTAAGAGGTATGAATTGACAGGAGAATGGAGAAGAATGCATAATGAGGAATTTACAAATGCTTAGAACAGTGAGGTTGGATGGGGGAGGTTGCCATAATGCATAATTATCTGTCCATGCATCATGATAATTTCATCAGCCAATAAGGTCATATCTGGTGACTTCCGTCTGTATGTATGTTGTAATTTGAGAATTACTCGGTGGATTTTTGTGAAATATTTTATGGACAGTATGCCATTTGAGAGTAGTCTAAAATTATTGTGCTTTCCATTTCTTGTAATTGGTAATACCAACGTAATGGGTGAAAAATGTGTGGGATGATGATGCACTTGTATAAACTCGGTGCTTCTGGGAAAGTATTACACCTTTAAAAATCCTGTAGAAATCCATTATGATACAGGAACACTGTGGAAGGAATACAACTTCACTCTGTTCCCAACAACCTCTACGTGAGTAACATCTAACCTTTCTAATGTCCGTTTCCTTACTGGAACATCTGAACAAAAACAAATGAAATGTGCCACTGGCTATCATATTACATAATAAAAGTGTCATGTTATTGAGAACTGCAGAAAGCTTATCTTGATGCTTTTTATATGAAAGAACTTAATTTTCACCAGTGTACGTCTCTAAATGTTACAGAGTTCCTAAACTATGAAGATGAAAAATTCTCTAAGAGTAGAGGTGTAGGAGTTTTTGGCACTGATGCCAAAGAGACTGGTATTCCATCTGATGTGTGGCGTTTCTACCTCCTGTATGTTCGACCAGAATCACAAGATTCTAATTTTAGTTGGGTGGATCTTGCCACTAAGAATAACTCTGAATTGCTGAATAACCTGGGTAATTTTGTCAACAGGTAAATAATAAAATTTTAATGCTGCCGAAGTTTAATTTTGGTAGTATTGGATGCAGTACTTGAAATTTATCATATGAGTGTTATGTTGTCAGTAATACAGTGAGGTGTGACGAAAGGTCTTTCCTACCAAGTTATGTAAAGATATGGGTATTTTCAGGGGTGAAAGGTTGTGACATGTATAAATAGGGCTTGACAGTTACAGAATTTAAATTCTTCATATTTTGTATAATATGAGACTTAAACTGACCATTTATTGGCCTAACCTTATGACCAGAAGAAAACAAATAGTGAGAAGAATGTTTATGAACTGTGTTAAGATGATCCTTTAGTTGTGAATGGAGGAGGCCTCCAGATGTCAAGGGTATTTATGAATACATTAAATAAGCAGTGAAAGATGACTGGAAAATGGTAAAAATTATGCAAGGAACTTGAAAACCTCAAGAACTTGCAGCTTTTGACATGGAAGGTCATGCTATTTGTGCTCTGATATATTTTCTTCTGTTGTGCAACCCCATATTTAGAGCATTTTGATTTTCCCCCCTTATCTCTTATCCCTCCATTGTAGTGGCAGCCCCAAGATTATCAATTTCTTGATTAGATCCTTGCTTAGGGTTCTCTTTGTTTTAAAATGTGTGTGGGGCTGATTACGATTGATAAATCTTAGATCAACAGCGTAATGATGTACTGCACTGAACAGTGAACATAATTTCAGAATTGTAACAACTATAAAATGGCTTTAAATAAAGGCTAACGTCAGCAGTGACGTGAAAGGTTAATTTTTTTTTAAGTAATGCAACATCAGAACTGTGTAATATGAAATTACCAATATAAGTACCTGAAGATAAAGTGAATAAGTAAGTAATATCTGTTAATACATATTTTCTTTCTCCCATTTTCACTTTATTTTGAGGAGCAGTAACTGATATTCAAGTGATGTTCTGTGAGCAACACATGAACATATTACTAAAAGTAAACCGTTTCAGTTTATTGTGTGATTCATACTCAGATATATTGTTCATATCATTTTTCTGCAGGGCTCTTGTATTTGTTGAAAAGAATTTTTCGTGTCAAGTTCCCAAGATGTCACCTGGTACTCAGGAGTGGACGCTTTTGGCATTTATAACTCGTGAGGTGAAGGCCTATATGGTTGCTTTGGAAAATGCCAAACTACGTGATGGGATTCGTCACATTTTGAATATATCTCGTCATGGGAACCAGTACATGCAACTGCTTCAACCTTGGGTACTTATAAAGGGCAGTGATGCAGACAGGTAAATCATCAGTTTTATTTACATCACGGGTGTTCAACCTGTGGTCCATGGGCATGATGCTTTGTGTAAGTTTGTCATAGAATTGTCTCCTTCTTAAAAATCCTTTAATTCAGAAGTGGTTTCTTGTTTCCAGAGCCCGAGCAGGTACGGTCATTGGCATCTGCTGCAACATTGCCTGTCTTTTGGCAGTTCTGTTGAAACCGTACATGCCTGTGACAGCGGATACTTTGAAAGAGCAATTGCAAGCACCGGATGATGTCTGGATTATTATACCTGAATTCACAGTTCTACTTCCTGCAGGACACAAGCTGGGCAAGGTAAGATAATGTAGAGTTGCCACAGCATTTTGTATTTACATGCTGAATTATTTCCTTGCATAAGGTTCTCACCTTTGTTTCATGATAATATACTGGCATCAGTAAGCCATACTGACTTGCTTCGTATATGCCACTGACGTTAGCAAGATATACTGACCTATGCAGCGCTTGAATGCCGTTGCTGTTATTCACAATGTAATCATGGTGCCATGTTGGATTGTGAAATTCTGTGTTCATTTTTAAAGGGTTAATGCTTCCATATCCAGAATTTATATCATATACTATATTTATCCATATACCACCTGCACCTTTTCTCTGAAATGCTTGCATAAAAACTGGATGACTTTCTTATTTGACGATTTGATTTGGATAGCACACAGTGTTGTGCATGAGAATATATAGGACACGGCAGTGCATTGACAGCGTCATTCGCATGGGGCTCATCGGCTGTTTAAGGAAGAAGCTTGACCTCCAAGACTTTACCACAAAGTGCCATGTGTGGAAATGTAAAAGACCCATCAGTAGGTTTGGTAACATCGTTCACGTGTTAATAAAGCCTTCTTGGGCTATCAGCCGTGTTAGATGGTGATAATCGCCATGTTTCGAGGACCATCTCTGTCCTCATTTTCAAGGCTGTTGACTATGTAGCTCTACGAGACGCACAGTCAACAGCCTTGAAAATGATAGAGATGGTCCTCGAGACGTCAGCGATTAATCAACATCTAAGAAGACTTTATTAATGAAAGCCGCAGTGAAATATTCACATCATATATCATTCATGTGTGCTGTAGTTTGCATTCAGGCAAAGAAAAAGCTTGATATTCA